AGGTAGGGGAGGCAGGGAGGGAGGGGCTGGGGGATTTAGTGAAGGATGCAGACCGAGCGAGCAGCCGAGAAGACGGACGAGGTGGCAGAGAGGAGCGATGCCACGGAACGGAGAATAGGCACGGGGACATGGGGGGGGGGGGGTGAGGATGCGAGGGAGAGCGCGGGGGAGAGCGCCGACGATGTAAATGCGTGAGGGGGGAGGGGAGAGGCCCACTTTGTCTGACTAAACACGTGCCGTGGGGCTGTACGTGCAGGCGGGAAGCGGGGGGGGGGGGGGGATTTAGACGCTCGCGCTCTCCGTGAATATTACTCTTTGTCTCGCCGTTTGATGTGTGAGTACCGGGGGAGGAGGGGGAGGGAGGAGGGATGGGGGTGGGGGGAGGCCGAGGCTGAGAGAGGCGGACTGGAGAAGAGGGAGGGTGGTGGGGTGGTGGTGGTTTGTCATAGCTACAGTCCATATGAGACGGAGGGAAAATGGGGGGGGGGGGGTAGGAGTGGGGGGGCTGAGCGGTTGAAGGGCGACGCGGCGGAGGTGGAGGAAGGGGGTGGTTGGGCGGTTCTGTGGGTGGTGGGGGGGTAGCAGCGGAGTGAGATAAATGGATGTAGATGGATGCTGCTGCGGTGGTGGTGGCAGTGTCTTCACGGAGATGTACACGCAGAGCGCGCAGATAAAGACACGCGGGCACGTGCACGCGGCACGACAAGATTGAGGGTGGCGCGACACCAAAGGCAAAGCTACCCCTGTGTAGCTTCGGCACACTTTTGGGGCAAGTGCCGTTAACGAGAAGCACATATGATGAGAGCCGGCACGACGGTGCGAGTGGCCAGCACCACCACGCACAGCCGCCTTTGTCTCCTCACAATGGCGGCGTTCACATATCGCACCACCTAGACACTCGTTTAAGGCTGAGTCGAGCTAGGGGCGGCGCTGGAGCGGTTCAGTGTGTTGTCGCTGGCGCTGGCCGTGAGCGGTAATCGGACTCGGGTCGCCGGGTTTGTAGCGCAGCGCGTTAACCGCTGCGACAAAGACGAAGATTTGCCATGGAGCCTATAACAGACTGTCGGGGCAAGTGCTGTTAGCGAGCACCTATGAAGACCGGCACAGCACACGAGGGGGTGGGTGGCCAGCACGACGCGCGGCCGCCTTTGTCTCCCCAGTGCTCCCGATATTTAATACACACCGCAGCGGGTACTTATTCAAGACCGAGTCGGGGGAGGGGAGCCCAGGGGCGGTTCAGATAACCCGCCGCCACTTGTTATTCGGTGGTCGTGAGCGGGGGGCATCCGAGACTCGAGTTGGCCCGATTCGTGACGCGGTGCGCTAACCACTGCGCCACCGCTCTGCTCCGCTCGCCCGTCGAAGGAAATCCGTTCGCGTGCCGTCATTAACGCGGCGCTCCGCGCTCAGCTCCGTTGTCAGGACGCTGCCTCGGTGCGGGAAGGCCGATCGCAAATGACATCGGAAAAAAACGCGGCGGTTAAGCAGCAACAGCAGCAGCCGCCGCTCGCGGAGACGTCGAAGCCGCCGGCGCGCGGCGGGGCGGTCGTGAGCCCCCCGTGACCCCCCTCCTCCCCGTGCCAGGGTCACGTGGAGTGGGCCTCCCGTGACCCCCCTCCTCCCCCTGCCGGGGTCACGTGGAGTGGGCCTCCCGGGGGGGATCCGGGGCCGCGTGTCCCACTTTGACCGGCGTCCCGTGCACGTGTGAGTGTGTGTGTGCTGTTGCGGCGACACGTGTGAGTGTGTGTGTGCTGTTGCGGCGACACGTGTGAGTGTGTGTGTGCTGTTGCGGCGACACGTGTGAGTGTGTGTGTGCTGTTGCGGCGACACGTGTGAGTGTGTGTGTGCTGTTGCGGCGACACGTGTGAGTGTGTGTGTGCTGTTGCGGCGGCACGTGTGAGTGTGTGTGTGCTGTTGCGGCGACACGTGTGAGTGTGTGTGTGCTGTTGCGGCGACACGTGTGAGTGTGTGTGTGCTGTTGCGGCGACACGTGAGTGTGTGTGTGCTGTTGCGGCGACCCCTGTGTGTGTGCTGTTGCGGCGACACGTGTGAGTGTGTGTGTGCTGTTGCGGCGACACGTGTGAGTGTGTGTGTGCTGTTGCGGCGACACGTGTGAGTGTGTGTGTGCTGTTGCGGCGACACGTGTGAGTGTGTGTGTGCTGTTGCGGCGACACGTGTGAGTGTGTGTGTGCTGTTGCGGCGACACGTGTGAGTGTGTGTGTGCTGTTGCGGCGACACGTGTGAGTGTGTGTGTGCTGTTGCGGCGACACGTGTGAGTGTGTGTGTGCTGTTGCGGCGACACGTGTGAGTGTGTGTGTGCTGTTGCGGCGACACGTGTGAGTGTGTGTGTGCTGTTGCGGCGACACGTATGAGTGTGTGTGTGCTGTTGCGGCGACACGTGTGAGTGTGTGTGTGCTGTTGCGGCGACACGTGTGAGTGTGTGTGTGCTGTTGCGGCGACCCCTGTGTGTGTGCTGTTGCGGCGACACGTGTGTGTGTCTATTCAAGGCCTATGACACCATCAGTAGGCCTGGGCTCTGGGTTGTTCTTCGTGCTTTCGGAGTCCCTGACCCTCTGTTCACAATCATTAAGGGACCTTCATGATGGTGAGCAGGCCAGGATAAAACTACGTGGCCGGGAGTCGGAACCATTCCCTGTACACCTTGGGGTGTGACAGAGATGTCCTATGGCTCCCACATTATTTAACATTTATTTCGACCACGTAGTTCGTGAATCCTTCGATGGCTGTACCGGAGGAATTTCCATCTGGTACAGATACAATGGGGGGCTGATCGATGCCCAGGTGCGGTCAAGGGATGGCTCCCTAATGGTCAACCATGATACGTATGCCGATGATCTGGTAATTGCCGCTCACTCAGAAGAAGAGTTGGAGGCGCTGCTACTGAACCTGGAACCTGCCACTAAGAGGTGGGGCCTTACCATCAGGCCCACTAAAACTGAACACCTGCCTTGGTATTTTGTACCATCGGACACTCCACCCCCACAACTCCCAATTGGTGATGGGACAGTAGTGGAGAGAGTGGAGAGATTCCCATACGTGGGCAGTGTGCTTGTGACCGGCTCCGGTTTGACAGCAGAGGTCTCACTCCTGAATCAGTCGAGCGGCATTATCTTTTCATCGGTTGTGTAACACTGTGTGGAAGCTACCTGATCTGTCGCTCCACACGAAGCTTCAGGTCTTCTCGGCCACGGTCATGCCCTCCCTTATCTACTCTTGCAAAACGTGGACCCCCCTAATGGAAGATCTTCGTCGGTTAAAAACATTTAGGCTGACGATCCATTCTGGGTTTAACCAGGCTGGATTGTGTGAGGAGCACATCAATCCTTGAAAAATCTGGACAAAGTCCCATCGGTGAACTACTCTGGCAGGCAAGGCTGCATTGGCTGGGTCATGTAGCCCGCATACCCAGCCACCACATGCCTAGAGAGATTTTGTTCGGCCGGATAGAGGGGGCTAAATGGGCGCGGCACGGGCTGGAGAAGAAATAGAGTGATGTGGTACAGGAGGATGTGGAGCTGAGTTGACTTGCCGATAACTGGTACCAGCAGTGTCAAGATCGGCCTCTGTGGAGGCTCGTGAAGGAAGCTGCTGGGCAGGTAGAGGCAGTCGCCCTCCAGAAACAACGGAGGGTGGGAGAGCGACGCTCACAACAACGAGCGGAGCGCTGGGTGGCTAAAACAGCAAGTTGGCACAGTAGGAAGCACAGGTGGTGCATCGGCCAGTCATCTCAGTCAGTCGACCCATGGCACCTGGGTCTGCCCCGTGACCTCCTGCCAGCAGGCGTTCTACACTTCACGTGGCCTTAACGTGCACGTAGCCTGGCACAAGCGTCATGGTGACGTCAGCGCCACTTAGTAGCGAATGGCGGTTGTTGTTGTTGCGGCATCCCGTCCCGGGCGTGTGCGTTGTGGCGACCCCGCGTGGCGTCGGAGATCGGCCACGAGACGGGGGGGTCCGTTCGCGAGTCGCGGGAAGAAATGCGTCGCCTCCCCCTGAGCTGGACAACGGCACCGTGGACGCAGCTATCACGGAATTGCTTCAGAGATCTCATCAACGGAAATGTTTTGTACATATATTAATTCGTACACACGCCGATGTTCGAGATGTCAAGCCAAGTATTGCGCATGTGCGGCTGAACGGGCGGTGATGGGCGGTGCTTGATGACGTCATCGACATAATTGGGGCGTGGCATGTGGTGGGTTTCCCACATTTGTAAATGTTTGACCGGAGCCCCCAGCGTGTCATCGAACACAGAGGAGCTCATCGTGACATTGTGTTCGTGATTTGACTCGGTCCACAAATGACCCACGTTGACCATCGCGATCTCAACGGTGTGGCGAGGGGTCTCATCCAGCAGTGGATTCATCACGGCCGATGATGTTGACTATGCGGGGGTCTCAGCGGTAGAGCGAGAGGCTCGCGATTGGAAAGTTGCGAGTTAAAATCCTGGTTTCGGAGGGTTGGGGTGGGAGGGGACACGGCCCATCACCCTTCCGGAGCCGATAAAGTAGGTACTACTGTGTAGGGAAGTCAACAGCGGTTGTCCTATAAACAGCCTCGCTCGTGCTATTGGAAGGTGGAATTGTCTCTACTCTCTCAAGAGTGTAAATAGTAAATACGTGATCAGTACCTCGTTCATAAACTAAACTTATTTTTATTTATTTTACCAGGCACGGCCCACTGAGCTATGCAGCTCTTTTTCAGAAGCGACCTGGCCACAAATGATAGCTCAGCGAAGTGGCTTATCATCGTCACGTGGAAATGTGTAGCAGTCAAATACTATAAACGCGTGACGTTGATTCTAAATTTGGAGGGAAAAACCGGAAGACCAAGAGAAAAATCCACGCGACCATGGGGTCAGGCGTCAGGGTCAGGATCGAACCCACCACCTCTTGTATACCAGGCGAGGTAGTTAACATGTTGCCACCATTTTGCTGCGTAGTGCTCATTTGAGCAATAAATCACGAACTTTATTCACAACGATGATGATGACGATGGTGATGACGATGGTGGCGATGATGACGATAAAATGATGATGATGACGATGGTGACGATGGTGTGTCACGTGTCTCCTCCTCGCAGATGCAGATCTTTCTCCACGACACGAACCGGACGGACGCGTGGGGGGTGCCCCCCGCCGCCCCCTCCGCTACTGGCGATGTGGGGGGCAACAACGCGCACGCCCTCGCCGTGCTCTTCCAGGTGAGAGGCGCCAACGTGGCGGTCGGTTTGGTGCTGCTGCTGCTACTGCGTTGGCAGCGGTGCACAGACACAGACAACAACAGCAACAACAACGCGCCCGGAACATTCATCAATAACAACAACAGACCCGTAATGGAGGGTTTTGGGTGAGGTCGCGTCGATATAATTGTGTCGTTAAACCCGCAACCACCCGACACAGCCAATCAGTAAGGGTTGTCACGTGAACAACACGTGGCAGTTCGTTACTGGTACAGCAAACCGGTGTGTTGGAGGATAAACCCACAACATTGACGAGTAACGAATTGGCCTGTTTTGTTTACGTGACAAACCTGACTAATTGGCTGTCGGGTGGTGGTGAGTTTAAAACAACATTATACAAGTGAAATGACATTTTCCTAAAGTAGAAAATCACATCGATGATCCTCATACCATGCGTGACACTGCTGCTCCACCGCGGCTCGTCTTGGTATTTTAAAGACATCGCGAACCGCCGACTGAATGCCACGGGGGTAAAATGTCCCTTCATTGTGCATCATGCACACGAAGAAGCGTCACCTACTACTACAACAGTATTACCACTACAATACGACTACTGCAGTATTTCCTGGTTTATTCACGAACTTGCTCTCCGCGATTGTTTGTTGTCTAAACCGCGAGTCACGTCTGGAACTCTGCAAGCGACGCGTCCCCGCTCACGCCCAGAGAGGGAGATGAGAGCCGTGGCGACCGCGTGGTCCGCACGCCGGACGCTGCCGCTGCGATTTCATTAGCGGGGCACAGCACGCGGGGGTCGGAGGTCAAAAGGGCTCCAGGGTCGGACGCGCAATCCGTACCCCCCCCGCCTTGCCCCCGGAACGCAGGCCGCACCTGCACCTCCTCAGATCTTCCATCCTCTTACCCCTCCTCCTGCTCCTCCTCCTACATCGCCTCATCCGCCTCCCTCGTCCTCCACTCCCTCGATATCGCGCAGCAGGTAGCGTGGCTGCAGCGGTAACGCTTCGCGCTGCGCAGCAAGAAGTTCCTCTGTTCGATTCCAGCCGCGGAACGCCTGCCTTTGTGTCTGGCGAACGTATGTCCTGCATCTTTTTTCAGCGGAGAGTGAGTGTGCGTGGTGTGTGTGTGTGTGGTGTGAGTGTATGTAGTGTTCTGAGAGTCTGGTGTGGTGTGCGGTGTGTGTGTGTGCAGAAGAGTGTGTCAGTGTGAGTGAGTGGAGGTTGTATCTTCTCTCCTGCTATTCTGAATGTGATTTATCCAGTTTCCTCCCACAACTAAACACACCACACACAGAGTGGATCTGGTACTGGCCACAACAATATCCCAATGCTGAACAATTCCCCTGCAAAGTACTTCATTGTTAATATTCACCAGAAACAAATACATGGATGTTTTTGTTTGTTATTGATGGACCTCCCCCACCGCTCTACACCCCGTACGAAGTTTCTAGATCTACCTTTGACCGTGTCTCACTCACCCTCATCGCTCACCCTCGCCGCTCACCCTCGCCGCCCCCCTCCCCAGGTCTCCAAGCAAGAGAACCCGGCCTACTCGGCGATCATCTCCGGCTTGGCGAGTGTGGCTCACCACGGTGAGTCTCCCACACCGGACCCCCCCCCCCACAACCCCCCCCCCCCCATGCCCCACAGCTACGTGTGGGATTCAGAGCCTCCCCACCATCGCCCCCTTCCTAACGGGATATCGCGTGAAGTCCTCTCCATATGGCAGCAGTAATGAACCGATGAGTCGAGTCGTGTTCGACATCCGCCCTCCTCCTTCATGCCGGGGCGAGCGCTCGCATCCAATCTGGAACCATTGGGAATTGTGCATCCCCCAGTGGCAGGTGGCGCTGTGCAGCGCAAGGTCACTCGGCGTGCTGCCCTGCAAGGGGGCATTTGTCTGCCAGCATTGGGGAATTATGGCTCTGTGCGATCCCAAGTGAGTCATTTGCGGTGTCGTTTTTTTGTTTCAAACACAGAACATGTTTTAAACCGTGACGCCAGCACACAATGGCCGACTCGCTTACGAATGACGTCACGGGATCTATACACACGTACTCTATATATACTATACTTATACACAGTATGTACTGTATATATATACAATGCAACGGCCGCTGTGAAGCAGACGTCCGGCAGTGGGAAGAGCGCAACGATGCCTCGAGCAGAGCGCGTGGAGGACCGTCGCGTCCAGGGAGGCACGGGTTCAGCCATCGTGTGAGTTGTTACGTCACGGGCTGGGGGCGTGGGGGGACGTGTTTACCAAACATCGGGTGCGCGCGACACGTCACGGCGGAGGGGGATCCGGCGGTCACTGCCGGAGGAGGTTGTGTCCGCCCGTGGCGGGCAGAGCGCGAGGCGCAGAATCTCCTGCGCGGAGGCGTCGCGTTCGCTCCTGCCACGTGGCCTGCCTAGCGCTCTCGCGTCTCTCCGTGTGTGAAGATCATAGCCTGGTGCTGAGTTCGGTTTGAGGGTGCTCGGCCCCGCTAGCAGTGACCCGTGGCCAGCTTCCCTGATGGAGACGGTGATCTGGTCAGATCTCAAAGCCATGGACGGGAGGTCGCTCAGGAACACCGCGAGTTGTTGCCTTGAGCTGTCAGCTACACGGGAGATGACAGTGGAGCAACGAGATCGTTGAATCCGTCCTGCGGAGCTTTGAGTTTCGCCAACCTCGTGTGCGTCCCGCGTTTTCCCCCAGGTTCTCCGGCTCCCTCCGACACGCAAATCCAAGCTCTCATGATTTTAATGAAATTGGCCGAACATCCGAATGCCGCAGCACCCCCCATTCTCCAGCGCTGAATAAGTAAACACCCTGACATTTTGAGAATCGGTGTCTTAAGACGGACGCACGGAATGTCGTGGCAGGATAAGAGCGAAAGAGGTGGGCGAGTGCTGTCGATGTGATTGGGGCAGCATGGAGGGGCCGGGGGGCGGTTGCCGACACGGGCATTGGAGTCGTCTTCACGAGTCCGGCAACCAAAGACTGGCAGTGGTGCACAATTCCACGCGTTCGTCGATCACTACACCGCGTGACCTTCACAGAGGAAAACATTAATACATAGAAGGGCGATTAGCCGAAACGTCATCCGTGATAAATATACGCTCCGTTTAAGGCGCACACGCCGTGTTATTGACGGACGTGTGAGAATGTTTATGACCTATTAAGTCGCCATTCCGGCGTCAAAAGGTGTTCGCTAACGGCACTTTCACGAGAATTCCGCATGCCGATGAGGTGAGGGGGAGGGAGGGGAGGGGTGAGGTGTCTCTGAGTGCGCGCGTGATGCGGCCACTCACGCCACCTTTGAGCTCTCCACCTGAAACTAAAACTACGAACTATTTTTTTTACCAGGTGAGGCCCCAATTACCTATGCAGCTCTGTTTTCAAAAGCGATCTGGCGACCACAAATGCTAGCTCAACAAATTGACTTATCGTGCGGAAATGTATAGCAGCCAAACATTATAAACGCATGTTGTTTCTAAATGTGGAGTGGAAAATCAGGAGGACCTGGATAAAAACATGCACTGCGACCACGGGGAGAATACGCAAACTCCAAATATATAGCAGGCGTCAAGGTCGGGATCGAATTCACGGCCTCATGTATACCAGGTGAGGGAGTTAACATCTCCTAGCCACCGTGGTGCCGTAATGAGCGATGGTCAGATTCTGTTTAAGTTGGAGGCTGCTCCTGCCGCTCCTGCTGCGTGTCTCAACTGTGCAGCAGCAGCGAGCAGTGGCGGGTTGTGGCGCAGTGCCAGGCGCGGTGGCACAGGCGTTCGGCGGCGAAGACATGAAACGGCCGCGGCCGTGATGACACGGGGAGCTGAGTCATTAGCGTCATCGTGATTATTCCTGTCACCGGGGTCGCCCGGGCTAAACTGCCACCGCCCCCTGCGGCCCCACTACGGAGCCCGCACCACGGCTGCGCCTGCACCCCCCCCCCCCCCCGCTGTTTAGCATTCCCAGGACGGTCGGCACGGCACGGCCCGTCTCCCGTACCGGCCGCCCTCTCCGGCGCCGCCCGCTTCGTAAATCTCTGATTAACGCGTTACGGGGGGGGGGGGGGGGCTAATGACGCATTCATATTTCACGAGGCGCCTCCCGCCGAACGTCGCCGCGCGCCGGCAATTAACGCGCAGCCGTCGCGAGCGTCGGGGCAAGCGCGGGGGGGGGGGCGGTGGAGGGGGGGCGAGCGCGGTGGGAGGGGGGGGCGCAGTGGAGGGGGAGCGAGCGCGGTGGGAGGGGGGGCGCAGTGGAGGGGGGGCGAGCGCGGTGGGAGGAGGGGGCGCAGTGGAGGGGGAGCGAGCGCGGTGGGAGGGGGGGGCGCAGTGGAGGGGGGGCGAGCGCGGGGGGAGGGGGGGGCGCAGTGGAGGGGGGGCGAGCGCGGTGGGAGGGGGGGGCGCAGTGGAGGGGGGGCGAGCGCGGGGGGAGGGGGGGGCGCAGTGGAGGGGGGGGGCGAAGGCCCAGAGTGGGGGTCGCGTGGGCCGCGGTCGCGCACGCGGGTGGCGAGTGCCCCCCCCACCCCCCTCCCTCCCGCCTACGTCGCGAGCGGGAAGAGAATTCTCGCGCGCGAAATGAAGGAATATGGCAAACGGATTCGAGGGGAAAAAAATGTGTAGTTATTGTCTTTTAGTAATTGCGTCAATTAGCGGCACACGGATTCAAATTCCCCCCCTCCCCCAAATTAATTGGGCCTGAGCAGCGCGGAATGAGAGAGCGACATGAAGCTGAATGTAGCTGTGTGGAGGAGCTGTAGCTGAGGGGACACGGGGAGGCTGAGTGTAGCTGTGTGGAGGAGCTGTAGCTGAGGGGACACGGGGAGGCTGAGTGTAGCTGTGTGGAGGAGCTGTAGCCCAGGGGACACGGGGAGGCTGAGTGTAGCTGTGTGGAGGAGCTGTAGCCGAGGGGACACGGGGAGGCTGAGTGTAGCTGTGTGGAAGAGCTGTAGCTGAGAGGACACGGGGAGGCTGAGTGTAGCTGTGTGGAGGAGCTGTAGCTGAGGGGACACGGGGAGGCTGAGTGTAGCTGTGTGGAGGAGCTGTAGCTGAGGGGACACGGGGAGGCTGAGTGTAGCTGTGTGGAGGAGCTGTAGCTGAGGGGACACGGGGAGGCTGAGTGTAGCTGTGTGGAGGAGCTGTAGCTGAGGGGACACGGGGAGGCTGAGTGTAGCTGTGTGGAGGAGCTGTAGCTGAGGGGACACGGGGAGGCTGAGTGTAGCTGTGTGGAGGAGCTGTAGCTGAGGGGACACGGGGAGGCTGAGTGTAGCTGTGTGGAGGAGCTGTAGCTGAGGGCAGGGTTGCGATTTCCGCATGGAAAATGCGGAAGGAGGGTTAAAATCTTCCCGCATTTTTGCTAAAGTCAACCGCAAACGGTGGAAAGACTACTCCTGTGACCGCGCGCTTTTAATAACACGTTAATGCGTTCTATTGGAAAGGATACATGCAAGGCCCAGCATCACGTAGGGCTTTGAGTTACTGATTGGAATGAATATATGATTTCCGCATTTCCGCACAAGAACCACATACTTTATTCAAATGCGGAGCCGTGATTACGAGCACATGTACATGATGTATCCTTTCCAATAGAACGCATTAACGTGTTGTTAAAAGCGCGCGGTCATAGGAGTAGTCTTTCCACCGTTTGCGGTTGACTTTAGCAAAAATGCGGGAAAATTTGAACCCTCCTTCCGCATTTTCCATGCGGAAATCGCAACCCTGGCTGAGGGGACACGGGGAGGCTGAGTGTAGCTGTGTGGAGGAGCTGTAGCTGAGGGGACACGGGGAGGCTGAGTGTAGCTGTGTGGAGGAGCTGTAGCTGAGGGGACACGGGGAGGCTGAATGTAGCTGTGTGGAGGAGCTGTAGCTGAGGGGACACGGGGAGGCTGAGTGTAGCTGTGTGGAGGAGCTGTAGCTGAGGGGACACGGGGGGGCTGAGTGTAGCTGTGTGGAGGAGCTGTAGCTGAGGGGACACGGTGAGGCTGAGTGTAGCTGTGTGGAGGAGCTGTAGCTGAGGGGACACGGGGAGGCTGAGTGTAGCTGTGTGGAGGAGCTGTAGCTGAGAGGACACGGGGAGGCTGAGTGTAGCTGTGTGGAGGATTACAATATCAATCCTTAAATCCCCATGGCACATCACAAGGGACACGTGGTCACGTGACTTAGGGCAATGGAAGCATGAGACACGGATGGACAGTGGCGACCCCCCGCCCTCCCGTAGCCGTTCACGACATCCAGATTATTGCTCCGTCTTTTGGAAGGTGCGTGCTCCGAAGAGACACGTCTCATGAAATTTTGATGAAGCTTTTCTCGAGGGGGGGGGGGGGGGGTGTGGATGGGCTTCATAAATAATAATTATTATAAATGGGCACTTCAGGCAGATCGTACGGATGAACGATCCTTCGCTCGCTCTTCAGCGTCACGTTTGGTGTGCGGACGACCCTCGTCGCGAATCTACGACTCGGGAGGAAAATCGCTCCGGTGGCTCCCGCGAGTGCCTCCGCTGTTGGTGGGGCGGCGCGCGCGTCAAAGATCCCCGCCGTGTCGCCTCGAACAGAGGTGTCGGGACGAGTGCTGGTCAGCGAGCACCCCCTTAAGGTCG